AAAAAAAAAAAAGAGAATACCAGTAAGCCTGGTAGTTACGAAGTTCTAACACCATCAAATAGACCAGGAATATGAGAGACACACACACACACACACACACACACACACTGTGGCTTGCCGGTGCCGATTAACACACCCGACCCTTCTTAAAACCCACCTCCTCCCTCCAGCAGGAGAAAGGAATTTCACTGGTAATTCTTTGTGCTGTTTCTCTACATGGTAAAATCTTCAACATTGCTGTCAGACAGAGTGAACTTGATTTGGTCCCATGTGGGCTATAAATTCATCCATTGCTAGAGGGAGCTCTTGAGACAGGACACGTTGCCTCCCTCAGCCACAGATCCAACCTAATGTGGCATGACAAGCATCTCAGGACACGGTCACACACAGAACAGCTACATAACCCCCGTGTCGAGTGCCTTTCATAAGTCGTCATGGTCATGAGGCCTCTGTTAAGTAACTCCTGATCCTCATTCTTGGGTCTTTATTCACCAGACACACACTCGTGGTAGTGTTGGTAATGCCCTCACTGGGAGCTGGTCCACAGGGCCCTTGATGCTAGTTTTTCCTGAATCCTTAACTGGCCACAAAGGCTCCCCAGTGAGCCTGCAAAGCCTCTCCCTACGAGGATAGTAAATGGGGAAAGGGAGTGCAATTTAGCTCTGAGAAGCCAGAAGAAAGACTGGCCTGCCTGGCTCTGTCAGTTTCTGCAACTCAGCCCGGAAAGTAGAGCAGCAACAGCCAACTCTCATCACCATTTTGGTGTGGAAACTGGAACTCTTAAGATTTTAAATGAGAACAAACCAACCAGCTAGGTTGTTTTTACTTTTCTTTTCTTTTTAAGAGAGTCAGATGGAATAAAAGTCAAGACCATTTGAAAACCAGCCCCGGGAGGACAGTTACACTTGATTTTACACTTGATTTTTACTATGTTTTGGTAAAGCAACAGATTTGGGCCATGGGCTATTGCTGACAATTCTCCTGAACAGGTGCCCCCTGGGCTCAGCTTTGCTTCTTCAGAAACACTGATTTATTACTCCTTTAGCTCAGGATTCATTTCTTAGGCCACGTGATTCTAACGACACTTCAGAAAGGACATCAGTTTATTCTGGATGGATCTGGTTATCAAAATTCACCTTTCATGGGACCAGAACACAGGCTTTGGAGTCGGACCATCCATGTGATCTTGAGCAAGAGAACTTAGCCCTCTGAGCTCTAGTTTGCTCATATGTTAAATGGAGATAATAACACCTACCTGGTAAGATTACTTTGGGGATTAAATGAGATAATGCAGATATAGTGCTTAGCATTGGACTTGTGACAGGTGAGAACTCAATAAGTCATTACCATTATTACCATAAAGTGAGACCCCCAATTGTCCCCATCTAAGACTTTTCAGATAGAATTTCCCATAATTGCCCAGAACAGCCTCTCACAACAAACGAAGCTCAAGACTGACCACCCTAGAACCTCTTGCCCAGGTTCCTCTTGCCTGGAACTTCATCAGAGGAATAGAATTGATGTTGCTCAAATGTAGGTCTCAAATTTAATTCTGAAACACACAAAGCGACACACATGGAATCGACACTACTAGGAGCCTTGGGCTGAAGCTCAGGGATCTCACAAAGCCACTCAGCGGCACCCCTAGCCTCACTTCTGCACAAAACTACAGATAGGAGAGTGTTCATTGCCACCATCAGTCAAGCCAGAGGGAGATGACAGGGGAACTGCGATAGTGGAGTGCGCAGAGGCTCACGAGTGCCTTACACCTGTAGTCCTGCTCCAACTGGGGGACCACAGTGCTCTGAAGACCCTCAGACCCTTAAAGGGCAACACTCCCTCTTCTCACCAACCCTGCCTCTTCCTTTTTGTCCCTCAATTCAGCAAACATTTATTAAGAGCCCACCACAAGCCAGGGACTATGCCAGGTGCTGGGGAGCTCCTGGGTCTAGCAGGCACAACAGACACCAACATGGAGGGCCCAGATGACAGTGGGTGCTCAAGATGTTCTCTGGGGTGATCCCGGAGAGGGAAGGATGGGCCAGACTTTTGTTTACCCTCAGTGTGTACGGGGCTAAAGACAGATCTGTTAGCAAGAATGTCCTGGCCAGCAGGACACTCACCACATTGGTTTCCTACGTGGCCCTGGCCCACTCCACAGGACTCCACCCGGCGTTCAGATGTTCTAGGAGACTTTTTAGCCACTTCCAGGTCCATGCCTGAGAGCTGGAGGTGAAACTGCTCCCTGTGGGCAGCCTTCCGGAGCGTGCGGATGGCTTTCCGGAGCCGCTTCTCGGTTCGCTTTACGAGACAGCTTAGATCGCAAGATGCTACAGAAACAAGAGAGACAGCAGCGGGGGAGGAGGTCAGGTTGCAGCATGTGAGGATGTCCAGACGACTGCAGGACCCACTGACACCCATAGTTCCCTGTGGACAGAATGCAGAGGGACCTGGAGCTGGGCACCTAGCAGGCTGGGCAGCATTTGATTCAAACAGAAATTTGTTGACCGAAATGGTACCTTTGGGTTTTTATGAAGAAGATAAAATTATCAAGTTTCAAACCAATTCAATTTAGTTTGGGGGTGGGAAAAAAAACAGGAGATACTTCAGTGGTTGCACTATGTTTTTCCCCCCAAGAATGATGAAAAGCGAAAGGCAAAGGAATAAGGAGAAGCTGTGAGGAGCCTGGCACCGTAGACTGTTTTCAAACCAACCTGTCACCTCCTTTTGGTTAGTTTCAAGCTCAAACTCAACAGTGATAAACATTTCCTTAGTGGCGCTCGGTCGGCCAGGGGCTCCCGGGACTTGCTTGCCGGAGCTGCATGTAAGGTTTGCGTAGCGGAAGCTCTCTTTTACTGAGCTGTGCTTCTCTGCATGAAGAAACAAGATTATCGGAAGCCAAATCCTGGCAGAGCACGCAGTTGAACATTCGCTAGAGCTCAGTAAACATTTCATTAAAACAACTCTCAAGGGACTAAGTGATTAACTCCAGATGCCAAGACGTTGCAAGCCCTCAGCTTGGAGCACGATGACATTTTAATTTTGGAGAGCCAGTACTGCCTTCTATATAACTTCACAATTTAGCTCATGAAAATTATTTTCATGGATAAATGCTGGGTATTTCTGACTGACCGGCCACATATGTGGAAGACAGGAACCAGGGGTTGTCTTGCGTTCCTGACTGACTGTTTGCTAAGGTACGTTCATGTTCTCACAGTTGGTTTCCTTAAAGCTGGACTGTGAAGTCCCAAGCAGAGGCTGAGGCTTCAACTAAGGAATGAGCACAGGAGTACGAAGGAAACCAACTCCTGCTTTTAGGCAAACTGAGCTTGGTGTAATTCCAACCCGAAGAGAAAGCTGGAAAGTACATCAACAGTGAGGCCTCGTTTTTAAATAACTAGGAGCAATAAATGGCACAAAGAATCAACAGAACCAAACAATATAAGGAAGGTCTAGGAGGGAAGGGAAAGTGTTGCATAAGGCAGGGCCTTGTACATTACTTTTCCTGACTTGGGCTGTCCCCTCCCCCCGTGCCTGCCAGTGAATCTTTTAACTAATGATTGTTAATCTGAACCAAAGAGCAGGTCCACATATCACCCACACAATTAATTTGTCTCCATTTTAAAACCTTACTGTTTCAACATAACATCTGTATCATATTCTTCTTCAACATTACAAGGATGTTCAAATCAACAGGTCATCAGGTGCCAAAGGAAGGAGGAGGCAAATTAATTTTCCCCTCTATATATTTCCCTAAAAATCTATCTTACCCTTTCAAAAGGCTACCTTCAAAACTCAGACTAAACAGATGCTCATTTTGAAACTTTCTCCCTTTCAATTTTCCCCTATTTCTTAAACTTTTTATTTTGAAATAAGTTTAGATTTATAAAAAGTTGCTAAGATAGTCCCAAGAGTTCCCACATACTCTTCATCCAGTTTCCCCTAATGTTAACTAACATCGTACGTTAACATGTACATTTATTAAAACTAAGACATTAACATTAGTACAAAACCATTAAATAAACTAAACACCAAATCTATTTTTAAATAATGCTTTTTCCCTCTGATCTAAAAGTGTAAATGCCCACTGTACAGAATTTGGGAAATGCAGGAAAAAAAAAATTAAAATCACCCATCATCCTCCCACCCAGATACAAACACTACTAACGATACGGTGAGTTTTTTTTCTTCTACTCACTTTTTCTTACACAATTTGGGTTGTACTAGATATACAAGATGTTACTCTCCCTTTTTCCATCTTAGCATGGAAAAACAAGAACATTTTCGTATGTCATTGCACATTCTTTGAAAATATATTATTAATAGCTGCATAATATTCCATCAAATGGAGGTACCAAAACTAGTCTTGCTTAGTTGTTTAAAATAGGTAGTCAAAAGTGACTACAGTAATCTTTATGTTTATTTGTTTGTATGATTTATTTGAGGGTTGACTGGGGAAAGAACCTTCCCTAATACATGAATCCTGATTTACTTTAATTTCCAAAATTATTCTATGAAATAATACTGGAAATGTGAGCCAGGGAAGAAGGAGAAGTGTTGGGTTCTGCTCTTTTCAATAAGGCCAGCTCTACTTGGATGGTGTTTGTTCTGCTGAAGCCAACCGCCTCCAAAAACTAGATCCAGCAGGAAAGCTGGACATTACATCTTTGTTCATCAAAGATTATGCTTTCTGAGCCAAACTTTTTTTTATTTCTTTGGCTTATATTTCAAGCAAACTCTAAGATCTAGAAAATTTAACCCACGATGATCACAAATTGCTAATGCATCTTAAAGCCCTTATTGATTCCTGTGAACTCACAGGTTTCCCCAGAGCTTCACCATCTGTACCTCGCAAAGGAAGCTATGAAGTATAACCCCAGAACTATACAGGGTGCTAGGCTAGGCTCCTCTTCCTCCTTTGAAGAGGGTCTTTGGAGATTCCAAACTTTTTGATCCCATCTGAAAGGCTCAGCTTGTTACAGGCCCCTTTCCCAACATGCAGGCAATCTCCCTGCACCAGCCATCTGATTCCATACCTGGTAGTGCTGGTCGCAGACCCTCAGGAAACAGCTCAGCCTTTTTCAAACTACACTTGCCTTCATTTAGCTTAAAGGTTACACTTGTCCTGACGGTGGCGACATCTTCAGAAAGAAACAAGTGAGAGATGTTACCTTTAGAGGCAAGGGAATGGAAACACCAGGTGGGTAATGGCGAGCTATCCACTGGCTGAGTCCCACCACATGGCAGACCCTGAGCCCCTCTCTTACCCTGAGATGAAGAAAGATTTAGATCATGGAGGGCCCATTACCCTGGGACTGGGGACATCAGGAGCCTCCTAAGAGGCTCTTAACAGTTACCCTCATCCCTCCATCTGAGATGAATCTAGTGCTCAAATATAACAAAAGGAGGACCAAAAACAACCTCAATGGTGAGATGAAATATGAGGTCATTTTTGTGCCTTCCCGAGAAAGAAGTCCAGAATCCCCTAGTTCAAATTTGGACAAGACTGACGAGAGAAATGGTGAAGGGAAGATTCTCTTAAATGAGCCTGCCCTGGGAGGGCAGGGCTGAGGGAGCCACCATTCCAGACAAGGACGGCACTCAGTAAATGTGCATTTTCAGAGTCTCAGAGGGAGCCAGGATCCCACTTGAGGGCCTCATGTAGCAAAATTCTGCTCTCCTCCCACAGTCAGTCCTAACCATATGTTAGGCTCTGGAGCCAATGACCAGGGTTCAAACTCTAGCTCTTCGACTTGTGATGAGAACTTGAGCAAGTTACTTAATCTTCCTAAGCCTCAATTACCTTATCTGTAAAACAGACATAATTATAGTACCTACATTACCAGGCTGTTGTGAGAATTAAATGAGATAACGCAAAAAAAAAAAAAAATGTTTAGCCTACTGTCTGGTACATAGTAAGAACTGAATAACTGTTAACTATTTGCTCGCCCATCCTTGAGGTGGCCTAAATCTCCAAGTGACCATTATTGAGGGATTTGGTAAAACAGACCGTGACATCTGCTCTGGTTGGGTCCAAATGTCAGGTAAGAGGGGCAGTGAAGGATAGTGCTTAAGACTCTGGATCCAGACTGCCTGGTTAAAGTCCTGGCTCCACTATTTCCTATCTGAGTCACTTTGGGTATATTTCACCTCTCTGAACCTCAGTTTCTTCATCTGGTTAATGAGGGTAATAGTAAAATGGCCCCAGAGGGTTGGAGCATGGATGAAATCAGCAATACATGTAATACAGTGGCTGGCATATTTTAACGGCTCAATCAATATATGCGAGCTATTATCATCATGCTTTGGGTCTCTAGCTTTGCTCATATATGTAATATGGACATCAAGAACCATTTCCTCATTCAGATGTTCTCATGACATAATCATGGAGGTGTCTAAATCTGGGAGGACAAAGCTTCCCAAAGCTTTAAATTTCATTCTTTATCTTCTGACAAGCCAGAAGGGGTCTGGGGCCCTTTCTCTGGACAGAATCCTTGCTCCTCCTGTCATGCCCACGTCTATCTCCCCAGGCACACATTTCCCGCTGGGCCTTTGAGGTGCTTCGGGGTACAGGGAGTTCGGGAGACCTGAGTCTCCTGGTCCCAGAGCTCTGTGGGCCTCTTCCCAATATGATGACCCCCCAGGGCTGAACACGGAGCCTCCCCAGCACACAGTGGACACTCAGTAAGTATCTGTTACATGGTGAGTCAGATTTCAGGCACCAAGGCTACTGGCAAGAACATCCTGTAATATGCTTACGGCGTCGAGGAGATTAAGAGAAAAGAAAACAAAGCCAATGCCCAAGAACAGCACCCCATGAATGAAGCCCACTGAACACAGTGAGCCCCAGAGAGAACACGCAGATTTGGTGATTACCCCCAAAAGCAGAGTCATTTGATTTTTGCTGTTTGCTCCTGAGAGGAGAGGAAGAGCCGCACGTGACAGAGTAGGCCTCTTGCAGTCCTGACAGACAGAACGTGGATTGTCAACATGTAAGCAAGGTTACAGTCTCTCCTGGTAGCCACTAAAATCACCCCCAACCCCACTCCACATGGACCACTAGAAAAATGCCCCGCATATAGGGTCTCAAAGCATGGGCCTCCGGTGGTCAGGGGCCAGCTGGTCAAAGACCTGGAAGCCCTTTGAGGGCATCTAACACCTAAAGGCCAGGAAGGCCTGGGCCTGGCTTGAGGACCTGCCCCAGGGACTGGGACCCACTCACCTGAAGAGAGATGAATGCCAGAGTGACATCTGAGGACGCACCTGTCTCCTCCACCACTCTTACTGCAATGCAGGGACACGTGGGGTGATACACTAGTGGACAGGACCCCCTTCACTTCTAGACAGGACAAAATACAGACACTTACAGAAAGAGAAGGACACTTTGAGGTGTGACAAGGATGGCTGAGTCCCATGCATCAAAGGCCCCAAGAAAAGAAGGTAGAGCTGACACCCAGCATAGAACACAGACACCAGGCACTATTTCCCACCAAGGGAGAGGAGCTCCTTGTGTGCTGTTCTTTTCATACAAAAAAGCAACCAGGAAAACAGAAGTGAGTTCCAACCTACACAGAAGCACAGAAGGAAACACCAAAGAGCCTGCAAAGTATCTCCTGTTTTTGAACTATTTAAAGAATGGCTGCTGCAGCTGAGGAGAGAATTCAGTGGAGGGATGGTCAGCTGCACTCCAGGTCCAGTCGGACGTGGGAGAGTGCTGCTGGGCCAGTGGTGAGCCCGCTGACTGAGTCTGAGCCTCGGCGCCCCTTACCCACACAGTCTTTTTTATTCCAGTGGAGCTTGTATGCAGAGTGGCATTGGCATTCGTAGCTGCCCACTGTGTTCACACAGACCTGCTGACAGCCTCCATTGTTGATGCTGCACTCATTGGTGTCTGTGGAACAAAACACTCTCCTGTCACAGCAGCCCATCGCTGACCCCCCTGACGCTATCCTTCCCTTGAGGAAGGGGCAGGAGGGGAGTCACGTGGCTGAAACTCACTAAACAAAGAGAAGGTGCTGACTGCCTGCAAGACGTGCAGCTGACCCCACTCCCCCTCAGTGGATTTCCTGCCATGAGCCTCACCAGGATGGTCTCAAGTTCTATTCTTGACCAAACCATTCCCCCAGTAGAGACACTCAGAAGGGGTCACACTCTACTTTCAGATGTCCAAACTCAGACACTGCATAGGCTTCCAATTTAAAACTCCACCATCTTCCTGGGCTACATACCAAGGGAGATAGACAGACAGTTGACACTTTACAGTTCATATAGTTAAGGTATAGAAAAGGAAAAGGACTTGCATTAATCCCCATCAAACTGAGACTGAGTCCAGGTTGGAAGGTGGCTCCAACTAAAACCCAGATACACATCCATATTCAGGGAACATTTCCTTGGGGTTTCTTGATGGACTGGGAGAGTATGTTTTTACCCATGCCAAGGATGTGTTGAAAAGGAGAAGAGAGACAACATTATCTATAGCAAATCACTACTACCCATTCTTCTTAAGCACAGGACACAAGGATTGGGCAAGAAGTATTTAGGCCAGTGGTTCCCAAATCCTCAGATCCTCAGAACCACCTTGGAAGCCCTAGACATTCTGAAGCAGAATCTGAATCTGTATTCTCAAAGACTGCTGAACAAATCTGATGATCAGGAGGAGCAAAGTGGTGCCAGATCTGATTTACGCCATAGTCTACTTGAACACAGGTGGGGAGACATCAGAATATGTTGCTACCTGGGCTCAGAGCAGAGAGAGAAAATCGATGGTCCCACTTCCAGCTCAAAGATCTGCATAAAGACCAGCTCAAAGAGCTCAGACCAAGGCTTCACAGCTAGTTCCTATGCACAGCAGGGCTATGGAATTGGCTGGTGTCCTGCCAAGCCTCTCTGAGGACTGTAGTTTACTACCCGCTGGGAAGTTCCAACGGATAGAGTATCTGCTCCTGAGAGATCCTCCCATTCTCTGAATACAACTGCGTCAATAAAGTCAACAACAAATTCACAGCTGAAAGAGCTCAGCTCCTCTCTCTGCTCCACTTTACACTTGACGTGTTAAAGGATAAATGCGGGGAGATTTCCCTTAGCAGATGCTTCCCTTGAATTGATGGGCTCTCTACTACTGTACAGGGACTGGAATGCCCCATTCATCCCCCAGCGTAGGAAAATTGGCCCTAATCTGGGGAAACTTTAGGAATAGACTCTGCTTTTCGGCAAGCCCAGCCTCACCCAACTCTAGACGGATTCTGCTCACCTCCACAATGGGTAAAGCCATAGAGGGTGTACCCTTTGTTGCAAGCACATGTGAATGTGCCAGGGTGGTTGATGCAGCTGTGGTCACAGGTCCTATCCAAAGAGCATTCGTCCACATCTGTAATTGTCAGAGGGAGAGGGGAGCTGAAACCAACTCTAATAGATGAGGGGAGAGAACATGTTTATAACACCAGTTACTGATCAACAACAAAAACAACACAAACAGAGTAAAAAATTATCTATCAGCTCAATTGTGTTAAAAAAAAGTGTTGAGCAGCCCACAAAACGTATACTCGCTGCCAGTACCCTTACTTCCAAATTTTATTGCAAATTGCACTTGCCTAAAAGCTCAGTTGGTCTCTCTCACTCATGCTTATTTGCAGGGCTGAGTAATTTAAAATATTTAAATGAAGACAAATGAGATAACATATCTAGAAAAGGTCTGTAAACTATAAGGCGTTAACCTATGCATCATTATTGTTATATTGCTATCGTTAAAACAGCAATAGTAATTTTATAACCTATGGCCAATTAAAAGGAGAAAACACTTGAGTTGAAGATAAATCTGGTTCCTATCTCTTTCAGATCTTTCCAGACTTAGTCTTCTGGCCCAGGAGGCCAGTTGATCCTAGGTTTTAATGCCCTCTGCACTAAAAGAATGCATTAACATTAACATCCTCAGTAATTTTCTATTGCAGACACTGAAATTTGGCATTTAAGCTCCAAACTAGATTCTCTTGGCCAATCTCTTGGCTTTGTTCCTCCCCCATGGTTCAGTCCCATGGGGACTTCTTGTTCAGTTTGGAGGCATCCTTGGCTTCAGCTGAGGTCATGGAAACTAGCCTCAGGAGGCTGCATTTGCCAATCTAATCATCTCTTCTTCCCTGGTCTGGTCCTCACATCTTTCCTGCAGACCAGAATTTCAGTGCTTCACTTCCTCAACACTTTGGAGGGTTTTAACAGAGTTATGACTTGCGTCTCCAAATGGATAAACCAGGACCAGTGCAGAACTCACTGGAAGCCAACTAGACCATTGCTTGATCTCTTTTTCAACACCAAATGTGCCATGAGAAACTACATTAATAAAAACCAAACATTTGGAAGGAATTGGAGGAATGAAATAAAAAAGGGCAAATTATTATAAAACCTCTTCATCCCCAACTTTTCCCAGAAATCCTGGCAATGTCTTCAGTAAATTTGTTCTCTGCAAATATTTGTTCTACCAAGACTGATCAGTGAAAAATGAGAAATAGTCCATTTCTTCCATAGTAATTGACATCACTTTGTGAATTCTGTTATTAATATCAGCCAGTTACCGAGAAAGTAGACTCATTCAGTAGCTGACTTTGGCTGCTCATGATGGGCTTTTGCTTTGCCAAAAATAATGAGATCACTTTTCTAATTCCTTTTTAATGTGTTTACACAACTTAAACAGTATTTCATGCTCTATACATTGTGAAACGTTATGCGGAACAGCAAATTTGCTTTCCAAGTCAAATGGAAGAAAACCACACAATAATCATGTACAATGAACTCGCTGAATTTAAAGCGGGCTATGCTTGAACTGCCTGACAAATTATGTATTAAGAAGAAAAAACCGAGAGAAATCCAATTGACACCATGAGGTTAAAAAAAGGTAATGTTACATCTTTATTATCTGAAGTGAAATCAGGTGTGATTTTCTGATTGCGATTTAATCCTGGGATTTCTAACAAAATAAGAGAAGTTCCCTTGACACACACCTTATGTGAGAGGGATGTGTCTGAGAAGGGGTCTGCAATCCTGCCCAAAGACCCACCAGCCTCTCCTCCACTCAGTCCCCTCCCTCCCTCTCCACCATCCCTTTCTCCAAGCACCAAAGGCTGGTCATGAAAACAAGGGCTATAAGGAAGAGACCGACCAGTGCATAACTTTGATTATAGGATGACCCCAACTTTTTGCCAAGAAAAAGTAGGTTAACTAAATCTACATCTTTTTGCCACCAAATTTTGTTATAAAATCCACAATATTAAAGGAAATTTTAGAAAACGAAAATTATTCATAATCTCAACACCCCAATGCAGCCATGTTTGCATTCTGTGATCCATTCCATGTCTAGCAGTGAGCTCTTCTGTAATCACACCAGATGGGTTCTTTGAGGTGTTCCCTAATCATGAACAGCTTAATTTCCAAAATATACCTGTGAGCTACATCAGTGTTTTTATTCTACCTAACAGATGAAATAAGTGAAGCACAGGTTGGAGGCTGGATTAATGACTCCATCAAGAAGCCGAGGGAGCCACTCTCTGCCAGGGTGGGGTTTCGTCTTCTCTGCTCCAACCAGCAGGTACTGCACAGCACAGCTACGTTTCAGCACATACCTTGGCAAGACTTCTCATCTGTTAATAATTTAAATCCCTTTTTGCAGCTGCAGTCAAAACTGCCCACGGTGTTTTTGCAGAAATGATCACAACCTCCGTTGCAGGTCTGGCACTCATCAATATCTGTAATAGGCAAGCATTGGCAAATCAGACAGCGATACTTGCCCCATTTTCCACAAATCCCTGAAGTGCTATTGTGTGTGCTTCATTACTCTCTGAAACAAAAACAGACCCATAAAAGCATTTAAGAATGTTTGCTGATGTTTTTAATCTTACACATGTTTTCTTGTCTGGCTTAACCAATTTTGAAAGACAAGTGCCTCATCCCCTTGGGAATTCTGCTTAACACTGACCTTGACTAGCATGAAGGAAACAAACTCTGGAAAAGAATGGTGATGTCCTCTTATGTTCTCATCCTTGCACTGTTCTCTCAAGATAAGACGGCACCCTTTGGTATACTTTCCATTCCAATTTAACGATTAAAGTTATAAGGAACTAGAACATTTGTTTTGGCAAATTACACAGTGATCAAATAGCCTCAATGCTTTTAAATGATTCCTGATACTCAAATTAATCTTAACTTTTCTCAGTTTCATCTGGTAACTCGTTATCTACTTTTTATCATGTTAAAGAAGTAAGCCTTTGTACTCTTGCCCTCGGAATACTAGCAGATCATTGCAGTCTCCCTTCATCAGTAAAAGTTAAGGGTATAGTTATTCATTAAGTCTCTAGATAATAATCTTGCCTGTTATTTATATAATAATCTCTAGGCTGTTATTTACGATATGTTGATATTATCTCTTGCAAATGAATGTTTCCTTGAACTTCTGCCTTTTTCTAATAAGGCCACTGCCTGAAATGGATTATTTGACGCTTATAGAAGTTGACCTTCTCAACAGTTAGTGTAATTAAGTCGGTTCTTATTAAGCTTACTCAATTATAACCTTCCACGAGCCCAGGGAAGAAAAGCCTCCATCGATATGAATCATAAGCAAATCTGGAGTCACTCAGGAGGTGTGGAGGGGATGAGCTGCCTTTATCCCCACACATTAGCAGCATGGAGAGGCACAGGCTACCTTTACAGGTCTTCCCATCCAACTGGAGAGTGAATCCAACAGGACAACTACAATGAACACCTGTCGAAGTATCCTTACAGGTGCGATCGCAGCCTCCATTGTTGACAGCACAGGTTTCTGACAAGGAGGTAAGAAAAAGGCAGTTAGCTTCCAAAGAAGTGCTGATACAGCCGCGAGGAAAGGGATATTGGTGCGGTGTTAATACTTGACAAAATTCATGAAAGCCAAGAAGTATGGTGGGGTACTCATGGTTATATCCCAAGTCTCTGCCACCTGCAGGTGAGAGAGAGGGAGAGCAGGTGCAGCTCCTCCCACCCATCTAAATAAGTGACATCTCCCAAAGCTTGACAGGGTAACCAGAGGGGTAAAGATGCCTCTCCCAACCAGCTGAGCCTTTCCCCGCTAATGGCAGATTTGAAGCCACTAAAAGTTCCTGTTGACCAAAAGCCAGTGACCTGCTAAGTACGACCACATCTGGCAGGTTCGAGGTGAATCCCTTCAACATGAGTAATGGGCAAAGCAAGAGAGGGCAAGCATCGCCCACCCCAACCATTCCCTCACTGCAGGCCAATGACTTTATCCTTGCAACTGCCAATTAACTCAGATTAGAAGTTTACCTTTCCCTGAAAAGAGAAAGAGCTGTCATAACTACATGAAAAATCAGCCACAGTTGTTAAATTGTATCTATCAAGATGAAGAACAATAAGAAAACGGCCTTCTAGTTCTGCATTTCATACAGTTATTTCAAATAATAAACAAATGCTAATTAACATTCATTCAATTATTAGCATCTAGGCATCCAGAAACTGATTTTACCTCCATAGCTACCCCATTGTAAAGCCTTGGCAGACAAGCTTAGTTCTGGTTAAATATGACAGATAAAACATATCTGTTTATCTCTGTTTCCTCCTAAAATCTCACTAAAATGACAGTAAATAGATTTTAAAAAGTATAAATCCTTAAGGACAAATAAAACAGAAGAGAAGACACCAGACAAAAGATGTCTAATCTTCTGGAAGTGGCGGGGCAATGGAGAAGCAGTAACGGGCAGAGCAGAAAGCTAAACCCTAGCGGTCTGCAGAGGAAACGCCAACAAGTAGTGAGCACAGAGGAGCCACAGAATCCCAGAAAGGCCCAGGAACTGGAGGTACTAAGTTACCCTAGAGGCAGAGGTGAGAATGGAGTTAAAAATAGGAAGACTGAGGGGGCCTGCCCAGTGGCGTAGTGGTTAAGTTCGTGCGCTCCGCTTTGGCGGCCCGGGGTTCGCAGATTCAAAACCCCGGGCACAGGTCTACACACCGCTTATCAAGCCATGCTGTTGCGGCATCCCACATGTAAAGTAGAGGAAGATGGGTACGCATGTTAGCCCAGGGCCAGTCTTCCTCAGCAAAAAGAGGAGGATTGGCAACAGATGTTAGCTCAGGGCTAATCATCCTCACCAAAAAAAAAAAAAAAAAAATAGGAAGATTGATTGAGAGTCTGTATAACAAACAGATGAGCCCCCAGATTCCCTCCTTAATTCCACAGCCAGCTGACTACCCCATCCCTATTAGGACTACAGCAGAGAAATGTATCCTCTAGAGAAGCTGGACCAGAGAAGCACTGGAGCCAAGGGTACCAGGAATAGTAGAGGTGGGAGGGGGAGGCACTGTCAGGTGAAAGTCTACACCCTGAAAAGAGAGATCTCAAACCCTCATCCCCTCCCTCCACTCCCAGAATGCTGGCAGCCAAGCCTATGTCCCCTTGGCAGGAGGCTGAAGGATTCTTCTCCAGCTAAAGTGACCTGCCCAAATGAAAAGACCTATAGGTATTGGTATTTGAGGATCTCCAAATGAAAGGCTAAGTCACTGCCTAGTCACCAAGCATAAAGCCCACCAGTTGACAGAATATCCAACTGGCTTTTTAGTATTTCACTACTAAATAGCAAAAGTGAGCCAAGAATCACCAGATATTTCAGGAAAGCTTCTAATATGAAATAAATACACCAAATCAAACAGGGAAAAAGGAACTTCGAGAAAACAAAGATAATACAGAAAACAAAACAGAAGTTAAAAATCTTATAATTCATTTCCTTAGGGAGATAAGAAAAACATCCATGAAATAAAAACAGGTTCCTAAAACAAAAGACCAAAGTAAAATTCTTGAAAAATTAAAATACGAAAACAGAAATTCAAAGGGAATCTTATTGAGGGATTAGAAGTAAAAAAAATGAAAAATCTCCTAGAAAGTAGAACAAAAATATCCAGAAGAGAAAAGAGAAGAAAATTAGAGGTTCAATCCAGGAGTTACAACACCTAACAGGAGTTCCAGAGAGAAAGAACGGAGAAAATGGAGTGAAGAAAATTACCAAAGAAAAAAGATAAGAAAATTTCTCAGAACCAGGGGACTCAAATGTCCCTAGTGAAAAGGCCTACTGAGTGCTCAGCATAACAGGTGGGACAAGTCCCACAGTGAGGGACCTTATTGTGAAATTTCAGATCGCTAGGGACAACCAGAAGACCCTGAAAACATCCAGAGAGAAGCTTTCATAGGTTCCACACAAAGACCCAAGAATAAAAATGACTTTAGACTTCTTGAAACAACACTGAATGCTCAAAAACAATAGAGCACTATTCCAAACTCTGACGGAATCTTCTTTCCAGCTCTGAATTCTATACGGAGCCAAATTCTCAAAAAAGGGTGGAAGGAGAATATAAAAGCATTTTCAGGCACGCAAAATTTTTAAAAATCTATATCTACCCGTGTAAACTAACAAAATTGAAGACATGGGATCCACCAAAACAGGAAGGTAGTGAAAGGAATTCCCAGGTTGCTGCTAAAGGGAAGGCCCAGATGAGAGCTGTGCAGCCGGCCCCAGGAGTCAGGCCCCACTAGAGCAGGGTGGAAGCCTCAGAAGAGACTTTTTAAGAAGCAAATGGAATTGATAAGTTACCTGCTGTATTTGAACACACTGAAAGGATTTTAGAGCTCTGTCAGAAATTTGCAAAAGAATTGGTAAGAGGTACTTAGAAAACCAAGCAAACAAAGAAAATATAATCATAGCACATTACAAGACTCAGGGGTGAATCATATTTAGTCACAATTCATAGTCACAATAATGTAAGCAGATGTATTGATTTAAATTGTGATAAAACCATAACAAGGGTATGGGGAGTAGGGAAGAGTGTGTGTGTGTATTGTGGGACAGAAGAGAACTAAGACATTTGCTGTAGTTGTGGCACATCAAGAAATAGCCATATGCACTTTGCTTTTCAGAAATACGGGTAAGGGGGAGTCAGGAGAAGAAGAAACAACTAGGAGAATTGAAAATTGTTGCCTCTGGCAAATGAGATGAGGGAATGGGAAGTTATGAGACAAGGAAATGATATATTTCATTACAAGCTTAACAGTACTAATTAAGTTTTTGAAGTTTTTATATTATTCATATGTACTATTTTAATTTAAGGCAATTAAAAATAATCATTTGAATAGCACAGAAAAGAGCTCAGAAATGTCACGTGCCTGGTAACCAACAGTTGCTCAATATCTCACTTGACTATTAAATCCAGAAGCTATCAAAAGATCAGTTTTGTTCAGGTCAAGCTAAGTTTTCTCCAGAATAATAATGTGTCAGAGGATCTGTCTGATTCCCACCCCTACAGCCACCACCTCTACTTCTGCTCTCATCTCCAGCTCCGCTGGCAGACCTGCTGGCAGACCTTCCCACGTCCCATAGCCAAGTGCCACTCTTCTCCATTTATCTCCTCTGCCGTTAACATGGGCTGAGTCAGAAACAGAAGACTCAGTGGACAAAAATGAGCCAAATCACCGTGCTAAGCTAGGGGCTGCCCAAAGTGCCTCTGGTCACAGCTACTCAGAAGGCATTGGGCTCTTTTGCATATTATTATCCTAACTGAGCCTCCTGATAACCCTAAGAGGTAGATTTTATTACATCCATTTTAAAGAAAGACCAGGACACAGAGGCTCAAGGCAGTTGCTCAAGTCTCACAGCTAGCCGGGGCAGCGCTAGGACGCTAACCCGGTAATTCTGACAGCTGGCCCGGCGCTCTTTCTGCGATACCAGGGGTCTTGGATGGTGACTAAGAACAGCAGGGAGTGAAGAACAGACACTCCCTGGCTTGACAGAGCTGCTCACCCCGGTCCAGCTGGTCTGAGGGCACCTGGGCCCCAGGTTCAGGCCTGATGTAGAAAGTTTGGGAGGGAAAGGGACAATGGCCATGGCCTGAGGAGGGTGGGTGAGGCGCCTACCCATGAGCAGCCGCCGTTTCACCCGTTTATCCCCATCTGCCACTAATGTGGCATTGCTCTCCGTCACCTCCAGGGCAGGGTCCTCTCGCTCTACAAGAAACGCAAAAGAGCACAGTTCTCAGACTGAATGAGTCAGATTATTCATCCCCTGCACAACCACTTCTGCTGAAATCCCAGACATGAGAACAATGTAAGATATGTGACTTTCTTCACTCAATAAAAATGTGTTGTGATGAGGCTCTGCGGGAAACACAGCACGTTAAATGGCTGCAGAGCCTTGGCAAACATCAAATATGGAAAAGATTTTTGAAATATATTGCACTGACCAGAAACATTAGGGAATGCAAGCTTCAGAGTCACTCCAGTACCCTTAGTCCAGAACAAAAAGAATCTCAGGCCTGGAAACCTCTAAAGCAGAGCTAGCAAAGGACACCCCATATAGGGCAGCGCAGGCATCCTGCCAGAAATATGCAGCCATGGCTTCTGCTGACCCTAACGGCTGCCGTGTCATCACAAACAACTGGCTTTAACTTCACGTCACCCTGGCTTCTTGGGATGCGTTGTCCCAGTCTCCAGAATACCAGCTTCAGGAGCAGCCTAGACCAGGAGAGGAGAAAGGGCTTTCCAAGGTCACACAGGGAGAGAAGGACTGCCATGCCAGGCCTAGACCACTCGCATTGCCACATGTGAAGTAGCACGGGACCCATTTGGGGACAAATGCACTGGAAACACCCTGCATCTAGTGCTAAACACCATTAAGCGTTAGGGTTAGGGTTACGGTTAGGGTTAGGGGTGGGCGGGCTGTGCAGACCCTCACCCAGTGTGGGGGTCACCACTCACCGAGGCAGCTCCTCCCATCTGCATGCATCTTGTACTGTGGATGGCAGCTACACTCTGGGCCTTCAGCCGTGTCCTCACAGGAGTGCTGGCACCCGCCGTTTCCATGGTTACAGGTCACTGAGAGGAAAATGATTCAATACATTAAGCACTGAGATTTCCACAACCAGGGCTGTGTTTGCTCCAGAAGAACTCTGATTTCCATTCAGCAAGTATTTGAGCACCTAGTACCTGCTAGGCCCTGTGCATAAAGGAGATAGGCCTGACTCAGCCCCTGTCCCTGTCTGTGTGCACAGATAGTCACAATACGAATGGTAGAAATGCTGAAGGACATGGTTGAGCAAAGTCACATTGGAAGACACAGATGCGAGAGCGGAAGGAGATATTCATTATTTAAGGGAAATTACACCAAACAATTCTAGACTACTGCTTTGCTCTATCAGGAGAAGTTTGCATTTAATTCAGCTGTACGGGGCATTTGGGAAATGCTACAGCACTTTATGTCTGGAACACACAATATTTAATTCGTACATATATGTTAGGATTTCTCTCATCAGATTCCATCTGGATTAGTTAGAAGGGAGGGTAATCAGAGAAAATGATGACTCTTTGCACACAATTAATGCAACATTAACCAATAATTATGAAGACTATGCATGAACCCATTGATGACAGGCCAAAAAAAAAAAAAAACCCAACTACAAAGCTATCTATTCATCAAACCTAACAGGGGTTACCTCTGGCAAAGGAAATGGGAAGGGGAAAGTTACATGTTTTCTTTACACACTTTGGGCTGTTTGAATTCTTACAGAGGCATTTGTAATTTTTCTAACTTAGAACTAAAAACATTTTTGCGATGTGAGAAAGAAACTGTTCTGTGATTACAGTTATGTAAAAATTGTGTATGCATATGAACAACTAAATAGGAACATGAAAAAAATGAAGAACTGGTTATGTGGTAGAATTCTGGATCCTTTTTTTCTTTTCTCTTTCCTCAAGCGTAATTATATTATTTGAGCAGCGACATCTTAAAAACATCTTAAATTTTTAAAAATAAACTTTCAGATATTCTACTGGCCCCTGAAAAACTGTGAAAGGCAAGAGTCTTGTTCCACAGGTGAGTCTCAGAGGACCGGGTCCTCCTTTTGAAGATACCTGGAGCCAGGATAAGTGGTCTCCGCTCTGCTCAGCCCACTGGAAGCCCTCAGGGACAGCCTCACTTTTAGGGGCCCTAAGAGCCTCTCAGAACCTGTTGTTTGCATGTGATGGTGACACCAGCCCTGGCTTGGCAGGCTTCAAGGCTGCACTCGGCTTTGTGATGGAGACATGGAGAGAAGTCTCTCACCAATGAAACTATTTCCTCATCTCTTAAGTGCTAAAGTCTACTCACTGTAAACAACCATCCCTAGCAAACTGGAGGGGTCTTCTAGAAGGTCCATGGCTTCGTGAAGAGTTCTTAAAGGGAAACTCTCAGTGTCTCCTCTGGCATAAATAGTGGCTTAGGAACACCTTTAATGGCTGGTTGTTTCCTATTTTCTGTTGGAGTTTCATTATTGTGTTTCATCATCGTATGACTGTGTATACCATTCATTGACCCATTCATTAAACAAATGTGAATTGAGTACGTCCTTCCTTCCAGGGGAAGACCAAGAGGCAAAAATAAGACAAAGTCCTTGACTGAGAGGGGCTCATAGTTGGGAAGACAGACACATAAATGCACAATACAACCCTGAGTGTCATGTGCTATAACTGAGGAATAAACAGTGCTGTGGGAGCCAAAATACAAATGGCTGCCCTGTCTGAGGCCATCAGGGTGGCTTCTGAGGTAGTAGAAGATGGGGATTTAGCGCACCAGCCTTAGAATTAGGCGGACCTACGTTTGAATTCTACACTTCATCTTAGCCAAAAGGCCGAGAAGCGATACGTTTGAATTCCAATTTTCCACTTACTCCCTGTGTGACCTTGTTGCTTTCCCTTCTCCACAATTTTCTCAACTGAAAATGAGGATAATAATATTTAGCTCATAGGGTGGTGATTGTAAGAATTAAATGGAATATGGTACATCTTTGGACAAGCCTTTGCATATAGTAAACGCTCCCCCAAAAGTAGACATTATCTTTATCAGTATTAGAAGTTAGGCAGGATATTATAGGCTGAGTGAGAATTCACCAACCAAGGAAGGGAGGAGGGCTTGGAAAAGGCTTGGAGGCATGAAAGAATATGGGCTTTTCTCCAAAAGGCAAGGAGTTTGGTGTTCGGGGAAAGAAGGTAGATGAGGCTTATACAAGAAGCAGGAACCAGGTAGCAAAGAGCTGTGATTGCCAGATGAAGAATTTGATTTTATTCTACGGGAACATGGAGACCTGGCCCCCAACATTCATACTCCTTACTCCTAAATTTCATTTCTTTCTAACTGGTTCCTTTAAAAAACATCCTTTCCCTTTCCTACGGGAGACTACCCTTGTGCAGTGAACTCAGTACCCAGTGGGGGTCAGTGTCTCATGCCGGCTGCCTTCCCTGATGCTGCTGCCGTGCCATGAGGTGGTGTTTCTGATGCCGGGCTGCAAAAGACAACCTCTGGGGTAGGGCGGTTCCCAGCGCGGGCGTGCGCCAGTCTGTACTTACAGATGCAGTCTCTCTGGTTCTTGGCCAGCTCAAAACCAGGCCTGCACTCGCAGACGACGCTGCCCCTCGGGGCCTCCTTGCAGATGTGACTGCAGCCGTGATTCTTATTCATGCAGCTCAGACCTTCTGCAAAACAGCAGCATGCAGCTGGTGACCAGGCTGTGGTGAGAATCCTGAACCCCAGGGGGGCCGCAAGGGGCTGGGAGGTGGGCCATAGACCTGCCTGCCTGGGTCTCCATCAGCCCCACATTTTAAAAAACTATGTCGTTAGGCCGGCCTCGTGGCTTAGCGGTTAAGTAGGCGTGCTCTGCTGCTGGCGGCCCAAGGTTCTGATCCCGGGCGCGCACCGAGGCACCGCTTCTCAGGCCATGCTGAGGCCGCGTCCCACATACAGCAACTACAAGGATTTGCATCTACGACATACAGCTATCTACTGGGGCTGTGGGGGAAAAAAAAAAATAAATAAAACATTAAAAAAAAAAATTTGTTGTTAAAATCAAGCCAGGTCAAGGGGCCGGCCCTGTGGCTTAGCGGTTAAGTGTGCGCACTCCGCTGCTGGTGGCCCGGGGTTCGGATCCCGGGCGGGCACCGACGCACCGCTTCTCCCGCCATGCTGAGGCCGCGTCCCACATACAGCAACTAGAAGGATGTGCAGCTATGACATATAACTATCTACTGGGGTTTTGGGGGGGAAAAAAATAAATAAATAAAATCTCTCTAAAAAAAAATCAAGCCAGGTCAATTAACAGAGACATGAAAAATGTCTTAAGTCACCCAAGAGATATGATGTCTCAACTCTCCTAAAGAGGTAGGAGCCCTCCCGATACACTGAAAAGAAAGCACCCACCAGGAGCCCTCTGTTGGCTGTGGAACCAGAGCCTGTAGACTCCAGGAACTGGTAATTCAGACTCTTACCTCTGCCATGTTGTTACCCGTGAACTGATCAAGAAGGCAATGAGAAAAGGAGAATCTCTCTAAGAAAATCTGCAAATGGACTGATGAAGATTCCCAACTTTTCACATACTCTTGAAGATGATTTTCAGAAAATTTCCACCCTCCTCTCCACCTCCACCAACTCCATACTTTGGAGGTGACTGTGACTACTGTATTTTGGCTTCACCACACAGACACCTGCCCAGGGACCTCTCTGTGTGACCACCCTCAGTTAGTCCCTGCGCCCTCCCTCAGTAGGCTCAGAGCACAACAAAACAACAACAGAGAGAACAGAAAGAGACCTCAAACATGTGGTTTCCTTAGCTGCTGTAATATTCTTTTTGGGTATTCTATAATTTTCATTAGGCCCGATCTTGTGGTCACAGTGATAGGAAGGGGGGTGTTTTCCTGGGTGGTTTAACACGCATCTAAATGATGGGGTCATAGCAAAGTATACATCTATGTGGTTTGCCAGCATCATACCTCTTCTCAAACCCTTTCTCTGAGAACTGGCCACCTACCAGCACTCTGAAGGAACTATTATCACACCCAAGAGTATTCTCAAAAGCTCTGCTCAGTCTGTACTGCATTATTAAGTGTGTATTCACATGATGCTTCTTTGCATTTGTGCCACACCACACTAAAATATCTTTAAGAGTAGGGATTTTGTTCTCACTGGTTCTCTACTAACAAGACACTTTCTAGAACTGGAAGTAGCACTGCTCTAAACATGAGTACAAAAAGCTTTCATTCAACTTCTCTAGGATCCAACACTGTTTTGTATTGTGCCCGTAAAACCTTAGCCAATTGGTTCTAATGAAGTCAAAAGTCACCTCTCTCCAATTCTCACCACAGAGCCGTCGATCTATGCTTAACTGGAATGATTGTTTTAATACAACAGATGTCATTCCTACTCCAAAAGACAGCGCAACAGTTAATACATCCCATACTCTCTCTTTCTTTCTTTCTTTTTTTTTTTTGAGGAAGATTGGCCCTGAGCTAACACCTGTTGCCAATTTTCCTCTTTTTCTTTTTTCTCCCCAAAGCCCCGGTACATAGTTGTATATCCTAGTTATAGGTCCTTCTAGTTCTTCTATGTGGGACGCCGCCTCAGCATGGCTTGATGAGTGGTGAGTAGGTTGGCGCCCAGGATCCAACCTGGCGAACCCCGGGCCGCTGGGCCGCTGAAGCGGAACACACGGACTTAACCACTAGGCCACCAGGCTGGCCCCCCATACTCTCTTAAAACTATCTTATTTTTCCTCTGACAGTTACGAGCTGTTTGAACTCCAGCACTCAATCTGCTGGAAGTTGCTGGGATTCATTCACCCACGCCAAGGGCTGCTGTCAAGTAACACAGAAAGAGGCCTGCACTAGATTGGTAGAAAGCTTCTCTTTGCTCTGGGGCTGGTGATTTCTGAAGATGTTATTTGCTCCCAGTACCGAGATGGCACAGGAGGTGAGAGCTGCCTCTGGAAGCAGCGTCCTGTCCTCTTAGGAAGGCCCAGAGAGCATCACGTTTGTCCTTGGCTCAGCAGAGCATGTGAAATAACAGGCCCCAGGAGCACCCAGGGGTTGACATAACAGAACCCAAGAAAAGACAGCAGTAACACCTGCCAAGTACGCTCCCCAAACAGGTCAGCTGCTGCTGCTGCTGCTTTTTTCCCTCTGTTTACAAGTCTGTTAAGACATTTGCACAGTGACCTTTACTGCCTCAGAGCAATTCATTTACACAAGAAATATTTCTTAAGAACTGACTGTGTGCCAGGTGCCACAGGGATACACGAAACATTTGCCTCCTAATGTCATATCAAGACCTGAAGTTACCAGGAGATAATGGAGGTTTAAATGGCTCTGGAAATGCTGAGGGCTTTTCAAGAGGCGACCCCGAAACTTCAGAGTACGCTGACTCACCACAAGGCCACTGCTAGCAGAGGCAGAAGGATCTGGTCCAAACTAGGAGGCCAGCCGTGGTCCTGGCTCCCCCTAGAAACAGGCCTGGCGTCATGTTTAGTGTTGTTAGTTCACCAGGAGGGAAACAGCTCAGAAACATTAGAAATACCCCCATTCTGGTGGTCTCACTGAAGAATATTTCTGGAAACCAAATAAAAATATGCCTTGTGAACAGGGCAAGAACCTTCTGCAAAAGGGGGAACAGGACCTGGGAGCAGAGCCCCTTCCTTACTGTGCTGACACCTTCCCCACTGCCTTGAAAAGGCAGCAGTACAAACATCTAAAAATATTCTCAGAGCAGACAAAACAAAAGAGGAATGCTCATTTTGAGAGCCTGAGCACCCATGAATAGGGACAAAGGCCAGCTGGGGCAGTGTGTTGCTCTCCGGCCTACCCCCATTACATGGGTGAAAACACACAGTCTCTTTATCAGAGCTTTAGGGTCTCTAAGGATAAAAAAAATCAATAGCTTGAGCTTTCCCTCAGAATCAGCTATTATGATCCCCTATATTGAAGAACATTCAGTAAATAATTATTAAAAACAACAACCATAACACTAGAAAGTAGTAGCTTACTCTGTTACCTCCTTTGAACCATTTTTGAGAGTATCAGCTGGGGGTTTTAAAGTCTATTTTAATACCGTTTCTAAGGGTTTAATGTGCACATGAGGGAGGAAATCCCAAAGGAACACTGTTTACAGATTGTTTTGTTTGAAGAGTCAAAGCCCTAGGATGGACGGGGTCTCGGTCACAGACCCCTACAATCTGTCGGCTCAGCTGCCATAAATTCGCCAGGCGATCAGGTTGGAACACTACAGAAAATGACAGAGAGCCCTTCCAGACCACAACCCAAATTCTCAGATTTTGGTTTTAGCTCCAGACAAATATGTTCATTTTAAATATTCTTTAGGGGTTCCAAGAATGTCTGAATTATAGAAAATTTAGAAAACACAGATTGGAGAAAGGAACTGCTATTGTATTTACTTCTGTTATGAGGAACCTGTGTCTGTAATCAGTCTGGGGGGCCTGCCGGAGGGGAGAAAGGGGCTGAGCTCCTGCATAGTCAGTAAGTGCAAGGGTAGGAGATGATCATAATCACTATGAGTGGCTTTGTGAGGGGGTGGGATTCACTGGGGGTGTTCAAGCGATGGCTTGACCTACAGGACCCCACCTCCCTCCCTGCCACCTAAAGAGAATGCCAGAGTGACTTCCCAAGAAGCAGCTTTGAGTAACCAAAGGGGCAACGCCCTGAGATCCCATCACTCGCACCACTGGCATCCCAATTCTGCCTGGAACTGAATGCAAAGCTCACAGAAGGGTCCACAGAACCCAGTAGGAAAATGAAACCCAACCGCTGCTCTGTCAAGGGCCACACCTGCATGAGATAAGAGATCCGTCTGATTAGAGCTGGTGTGTGACTGCCCTGCTCCAACACTAACCAGCAGGCTGGGGGATAAGAGTTGTCAAACCCACTGGCCCCTGGTGTTTTCTCTGACCATTCTTCTTAGTACCCAAACAGGCCTTCTAGTTAAGAATAAGGAAGGAGCCATCACTCTTGGACAATGAGGCAAAAATCATCTTCCACAAAGAAACCTTTGAAAAGTCACTAAAACCACAATTAAAACAATAAATCTACAAATCTGTGATTAAACAGTAGAAGAACTTAAAATTGCCTCATTCTTAAGTTGTGAGAGTGAATAAGCAGCACACGCTGAAAGGAGTTGATAGTCTAATATTCAGGGCACTTCCCTTAAAACAGGCACAGGCAACCCTGGGAGAAATACAGCCACCAAAATGTGGTTCTTTGGCTTAAGAAACAGCAGAGAAGAATTAAAAGCACGTCATTGGGGTAAGTGGCTGATTGGCCAACATGTACTTAAAGCCTCTCCCTCCCGGGCACGCACTGAACTATAGAGGAATAAAAAAAAGTATAAACTCAAAGCAGAGAGAATGAAAAGAAGGCCATCAGAAGAGAGTTTTCTACAAATTTATGGAGGAATGGAGGTGGCGACATAGGTGAAGGAAACCACAGCAGAGAAAGCCCACATCTGGGGAGGGGGTCCCCCTGCCTCTGGGAACCCCAGAGGCTCAGAGTTCAAAAACACCAAACACAGGGAAGGCCAGATCTGGCCTGGGGCTGAAAACAGGGCGATTCATTGAGTCTCCGTAGGAAGGCTCCAGCCCCCTCCCCACCCACCCAGAGCAAGGAGCAGGCTCGCACTTGGTGCTGTGGTTTGCAACACCTCTTTGAAAAACTTGGCAGATCATCCATTACATTTCTCCTGAGACACCTAGTCATGTTTGAAATGTACTCTACTTAAAGATTAGAATCAGAGAATGTGAGAGTTTGAAGCGACCTCAGAGCTCACCCAATCCAACTCACTTATTTTGCCAGGCGAAGAAACTGAAGCTAAAAGAACTTGCCCACGGTTACCCAGTAGCACAGTCTGGACTTGTACTTAAGCCTCCAGACTTCCTATACCCCATGCTTCCCTTCTAAAGTCATGGAGGGTGGGGGGATTCTCAGATGTGACCCTGCCCCGCACCCCCACCCCTCCCCACCACAGCAGAGCAGAGGTACCTTCTGAGCGGTGAATGCACGTGTGCTGATTGTCACTCAGGAAAAACCCCTCCTTGCAGCGGCACTCGTAGCTCCCCATGACGTTGACACAGGTGTGCTGGCAGCCGCCATTGTTGTCCAGGCACTCGTCCACATCTGGAGGGGCAGAAGGCTTAGTCTTTGTTTTTGTGACTGTTTCAAATACTCTACCCAGCCCGGCAACTCAGGGACTCTGACCTAGCAGAGACGAGGTCCCTGAATCACAGGAGCTCTCAGAACTTAAGCCAACGGGGCCCCCAGATGATTAACCCAGCCCTCACGGGTCTGGGGCTCACTTCAACAGGCCCTCCACATGGACGAAAGATAATCAGTGTGACAAATATTTATTGAGCACCTCCTCTTTCCAAAGCACAGTGCTAGAGGAGACAGTAAAATCTAGATGAGTAAGATGACATTTCTTCTCTCTAGAAGCATGCCTTTCAGCAGAGGGAAAGAGACAAATGTACAAGTAATTATAAGATAAAGTAAAAGGTGGTACAAAGGAAAGAGAGCTCACATCTGGTTGTGGGTCTCAGGACGGGTTCTATGGAAAAGCTGATGAAGGACGGGCCCTGCAGTGTATCTTCGACTACAAATCAGGAGAAGGGATTCTAGGCAGAAGAAAGGGCATGAACACCAGCATGAAGGCTGGGGAGCATGGAGTTTGTTCGGATAACGGTGGGTCATCAATTTGGCTGGAGTACAGGTACATGCAGGGAAGTCACAGGAGATAGAGCTGGGAAGACAGATTGGGGCCACACTACAGAGGACCTTGAATATCAAGCAAAGAAGTTCCTACTCCATTTAGGAGGCAGTTGGGAACCACTGGAGCAGGGGTGACTTGCGTTGGGAAGAATAAGGCAACAGCTGGGGGAAGCACACAGGGAAGGGAAGAATGGAAAGCCTGGGAGTCTGGCTTCACATGTGTACCTGAAATAGCCACGGCTGATGCTAGCTGGGGATCGGACCTGGGGCCTGGTGGGGGGATGCCTAATAAGGAAGAAATACAAGAGGACTGTGGGCAAGGTGCCTGTAGGGTGGAGAGCCATGTGGGCATGGGGTGGGTTGGCCAAAACATAGGGAAGACCAGCGCTGGTCTTATAGAAATGGGGGTGGAGATGTGGCTGGCCCCCACCACGGCAGGGACGTGATATGTGTGAGAATCTGACATTCAGGGCTAGGTCCGGCAGGTGGTGGGAAACCTGAGGCTGGTGTTGTAAAGACAGCTTTGAAAACCATTTACTTGTGGTGGCCTAATAAGGTGGTGGATGTGGATGAGAAAACCAAAGGCAGGAGTGTGGGAAGGGAGAGAACGGGAGCAGAAAGGAGATGACCAGAGGTAGAATTTGAGAGACTATCAGGGGTAGAAGGAAGTAGAGGAGACAGTAGGAGCCCCCCAGAGAAGAAGCCATCAAAAAGACAGAGGGGGGCTGGCCACGGGGCACAGTGGTTGGGTTCGTGTGCTTCGCTTTGGCGGCCCTGGGTTCGCGGGTTCGGATCCCGGGCACGGACACACACCACTCATCAAGCCATGCTGTGGCAGCAACCCATATACAAAATAGAGGAAGACTGGCTCAGGGCCAATCTTCCTCACCAAAAAAAAAAAGAAAGAAAGAGGGGACAGAGCCTGCCCCCAGTGCCATGCCCCCAGGGCGGGGTTAGGGGACCATCCTTCCACTGTGTCACATACTACCCTGTGCACAGCTCCATCAGTACACTTCCCACATTGCATTCTCAAAATCTTTTTTTTTTTTAATTTGTACCTTTCGACCCCTCAAAACCTTTTACTTATCCATCTCCACTAGACTGCAAACTCCTTGAGGTCAGAGATTTTTGTTTTACTTAGCACAGCCCTGGGACCTGCAGGTGCACATTAACTGTTCAATGCATGAACAAATAAGCAGGAGAGCCCAGCATCACCAGAGCCAAAGAAGTGGAAACTTCCAGAAAAGTCTCAGATACGACAGAGTCTCAAGAAGAAGGCTGATATAAAAGCAATTTATTTCCTCCAGCCTGATTTCCCACATGCCTATCACTAGCTCCTGGGCACATCCATAACAAGAAAATTCATATTTAAATATCTGTTATCTGGTTTCAAGCTTCAGATCTTACAGTCATCCATCCTCCCACACTACCAAGCAGATGCCCGTCTAAACCGATGGGACTCAAGCCATCCCCTAAAGCCTAACAAACTCGCCCTTCTCCATGCCAAAGGGTGAAGGGAACACATTCCAGAGGATGAGCCACGCTGGAACACACCTGGCCTGGGTGTTCCACAGTGAGGACTCACGGTGGGCAGGAGAGATCTGTTTCCCTTAACACCAAGTCCTGAATTGGTTTTGAATCAGATGTGCTCCCCTCTGAGCTGCCACACCCCCACCCCACATTGAACCCATCATTCCTTTTCTCCAAAGCAATTAGAACTGTCATTAAGTTGGATGATGCACTCTGATTGAATTATACACAAGAGTGTGTGTGTTCACAAGCACAAATATATATCACTAGGCTGGTAGTTTCTCCAGACTGTAAAACAGTGTTTCTCAATCCTGGCTGCTCGCTAGAACCCTGACACCTGGTCCCTACCTGCTGAGACACTGATATAACTAGTCTTGGATGAGACCGAGGCAATGGTGTTGTTTTAAACTTCTCAAGTGATTCTAATATGCAGCCAGAGTTGAGAACCACTGCCACAAAACTGAATAGCTATGTTGTGCTCCAGACACTCAATAAATAGAAACTGAATTCAGGCAGAGTGAGCTACGTGGAAGAGGTACACTCATTTTTCAGGCTCACAGGCATCTGGGATCTTGGAGCATGCTGGGTTTGGTGTCAGAGCTAAGTAGTGTCCATACTCTGCATATTCTGGCTAGTATATTTGTGGCTAATGTGTGGTTAGGGGCCGAGGAGAGGTAAGGGGTCATCCCAGGAAACTCCACTCCTGCAAAGTTTTGGCTCTGAGCTTCCTTCTTGTCACAAAATACTTCAGCCTTTTCTATGTGTGCTGGACCTGCTCTTCTCAATGTACCACTTTATTTTCTCGTGTCTTTCTTTTAAAGCATCCTTAGCCTCTTCAGATATACTCAGCAGATGCTCAGGATCTTTCTGCAAGGCAGATCCTTGCTACCAAACCCACAAAGAGACCCCAAGGAGGGGAAATGGAGATAGCCTGCTGAAATACCTGTGTTAGCAGCCAAGGCAAGGAAAGACTCCAGGCCTCAGGATCTCTGAGCAGGCCTTTCCTCAGAACCACCCCACCCAACCCTGGCCCAGGTCCCTAAGCCCTGGATGGTTTGGCTTGTTGTTCTTAGGTAGCTCACACTTCCCTCAGGCTGTGGATTCAGCACAACTATGGTGACTGAGTCTGCCATCAGATACAAATCCTCAAAATGCCATTGTTGGCAAATCAAAGGGAAATGTGAGATTTCCCTCAGAAAACGGTAAAAAAAAAAAAAAAACCAAAAAGCCAAAACACATACTGTATGCTTCCCAACAAATTACACACTAAAAGTGATTTCATTTTTTTGAGTTTTTAATGAATCTCAATTTATTGCTGCTCTCAGGATTGTCTCTCTAATGTGTCTTCTTGTGGTACTGTTGGCCTAGAAAGTCTGCAAAGGGGTTAGTGATCCCTCAGCCTTCAATCAAGTCTTCCTGACAGCTGCAGGCATGGAAGGCCAAGTGGTCTAACCAAAGCCTGACCTCTCACACAGGACACAGATAGGAAGGGACAGAGTCTACACCAGGATGGGCCAGCAAGTGACACTGAAGTGGATAAAGGTCATATGAGGAGTGCGTCCCAAATGGAAATACTCTCCTTCCCCAACACTCAAATACAAGTTCTTATCCAGTGACTTTTATGCTGATCTCAAATCATTTGATCAAGTGGCCACTCCCACTGCACCTTAAAGGGGCATCTGAATAGTGTTCCCACAGAGTCAGGGCCTAGCTCAAATTGCTCTTTGGCTATCCAAGTGGACATCAATGGATCAACCATATAGAGGGTCATCACTGTCAAAGGAACCTGATACCATCTGTCTCCCGTGATGTCCTCCTGTACAGCTGATAACACCAGCCTTAAATTGCAAACAGACCACAAATACCTGCCTGCCAGGTATCCTCTAAGACTATCCAACACTCAACCCTATCCAATTGCTTGCTGTTTCTAAGTTCTGTTTTATTCCCGGCATAAGGAACCAATGTAAACAATGCTCTTTGCAGGCCGTAACTCGGGGACTGAAACTCCAACAGACGTTTCTGTTTTGTGGAATACTAGGGGGATGTTAATGGAACATTTCTGTTTGAATTTCTCTCTCTTTCAAGAAAAAAGACAGAGGTCTACCTGGCTGAAATCCAAGCACACATTTGGAGTCTTCAGGACAAGTAGTTTTACCTAAGTTCTAGAATAGAGACACTTAGAGCATTAAAAAAATGGTTATAAGTTAAGACCTTTTTAATACAAGACCAAAGATCTTACAGCTGACAAGTCAATGCTAGAAAGTCAGTAAGTAGTAACGACGATGTGTGCCCATCTCCTTGGACTAATGGAGGATTTATATTATGAATGATCACATAAAACCTAAAACACTTTACCTGGTTTTCTATCAGGGAGTGAGATTTCTAGGGGGCCAGAAAACACAAGTCCTTGATCCTCTTTTTGTTTTAATGAGTATGTTTTCATCAAAGGAAAGAAAGGGGCGGGGGGAGCTGAAGCATAGGTAAAGGAGAATTGCCATTTCCAACTATTTTCCTTACCAAGACAATTATGACCATCATGAGCCAACATGAAGCCGTCAAAACAAGTGCAGCGATAATTGCCTGGAATATTCAAACAGTCATGGACACAGCCTCCATTGAGTTCGTTTTCACATTCATCAATGTCTGAGGAATAAAACAGAAGTAAACCAGACAAGTATTATGTCTTTAGAATGGAGATATACGTATTTTTTTTTTTTAAAGATTTTATTTATTTTATTTTTTCCCCCCAAAGCCCCAGTAGATAGTTGTATGTCATAGCTGCACATCCTTCTAGTTGCTGTATGTGGGACTCGGCCTCAGGATGGACGGAGAAGTGGTGCCTCGATGCGCACCCGGGATCCGAACCCGGGCCACCAGCATTGCAGCGCGCGCACTTAACCACCAAGCCACAGGGCCGGCCCGAGATATACGTATTTACCTTTTAACCAGGCATCTCACTTCTAGGAATCTACCCTAAAGATACATCTCCAACAATAGGAAAATAAATACGTATAAGGTTATTCACTGCAGCATTTGTAATAACAAAATACTAGAAACAAACTAAATGCTCATACATAGCAGGTAGTTGAATAATTATGGTACATTTACTCGATGCAGTATCATGCAGCTGTTAAAAAAATGAGAAAGATCTCTATGAACTGATTTGGAATGATTTCTAGAATATACTACTAAGTAAAAAAAAATCAAAATGCAAAAAAGTATTTGTAGTATGTTATCATCATGTGAAAAATAAGGGTATATAAAAAAAACACACACATGAAATTCCAGCAGACACTTTTTGCAGAACTTGACAAGCTTATCTTAAAATTTATATAGAAAGGTGAAAGACTCAGATTGGGAGGACTTTCATGTACTATAAAGCTACAGTTATCAAGACTGTGCGGTGTGGCATAAAGACAGATGTATAGATCAAAGGAACAGAATCGCGAGTCCAGAAATATACCCTTATATTTACGGTCTTTGATTTTGGACAAAAGCACTAAGGCATTTTATCAGCAAAGATGACAGTCTTTTCAATAAATGGTGCCGAGACAATTGGATATCCCTATGCAAAAAGATTAATTTAGACCCTTACCTCACACCATACACAAAAAGTCAACTCAAAATGGATCAGAGATTTAAATGTACAAGCTAAAACTATAAAGCTTTTAAGAGAAAATAGAAAGCTTCTATGAGAAAATCTTTGAAACCTTGGGTTAGGTAAAGATTTTTTAGATACAACACCAAACACACAATCCATAAATTTAAAAATTAATACATTGAACTTTATCAAAATTAAAACCATTTGCACTTCAAAAGACACCATTAAGAAGATGAAGATAAGCCACAGATTGGTAGAAAATATTTGCAAATCACAAACCTTATAAAGGACTTACAAAGCACCCTTACAACTCAATAATAGGAAAAGAAACAACCCAATTTTAGAATGGGCAAAATATTTGAATAGACATTTCACCAAAGATGATATGTGAATGGCCAATAAGCAGATGAAAAGATGTTCAACATCATTAATTACTAGGGGAATTCAAATTAAAACCACAATGAGATACCATTTCACACAGAATATATATTATAATTATAATAAATAAGACAGACAATGACAAATGTTGACAAGGATGTGGAGAAATGGGAACCCTCATAGATTGCTGGTGGTAATATAAGATGGCACAGCCACTTTGGAAAACAGTTTGGCAGTTCCTTAAAAGTTTAAACATAAATTTACCATATGACCCAGAAATTCCACTCCTGGGTATATATCCGAGAGAAATGCCAAATTATGTCCACACAAAGACTTGCAGGTGAATGTTCAAAGCAACATTATTTATAATAGGCCCAAAGTAGAAATAATCCAAATATCCATCAACTGGTGAAGGGATAAACAAAATATGGAATATCCATACAAAGAAATACTAGTCAACAATAAAAAGGAATGAAATGCCAATACAGGCTACAACATGGATGAACCTCAAAAATATTATGCTAAGTGAAAGAAGCAAAACACAAAAGACCATATTGTATGATTCCATCTATAATGAACTGCCCAGAAAAGGCAAATCTATAGAGAAGTGGATTAGCGGTTGCCTAGGGCTGGGAACAAGGATTAACTGTACACGAGCACGAAGGATCTTATTGAGATGAGGAAAATGTTTGAGAATTATATCATGTGATGGTTGCACAACTCAGCTAATTTACCCAAATCATTGATCTGTACACTTATTTAGAATTGGTGAATTTTATGATATGTAAATTATAACTCAGTACAGTAGTTAAAAAGAAAATACACATTTAGCTGCTTATTTGTGCAAAAGAAATATAGGAAAGATAAACCATAAACTACAGAGATTGGTGAGCCACAGTGTGGGAAAAGGGGTGGAAAGAAGGAGGAATGGAAACAGGTTATAGGAATAGGAGGAGGGAGTAACACTTCTCTGAGTTTTGTATAGCTTTGACTCAGAACGATAGTGATGCTCTACATACACGCGTGAATACATATATATGTACATGTGTATACATGCAATCAACCAGGAAGCAGGGACAGGGGTGAGGGGAGGGATAAAAAAATGGAATACAAAGACAAACAAATGAACCTAACTGTATTATAAATGAATAACATAACCACACTGATGGGGATGGGGAAGAAAATTACTAGCCTAAGTAACTTTGAAAAACAATATCTTGACTGGATATTGTGAGGCTAAGAACAAAAGTACCTGTATAGAAGTACTGTATCCTACTTAGTAAATCTGCTTTACTCACAGGGTTATGGATTAGTAATTCTGTAAATACTTTATGTGTATACTAGGATTGAACAAACAGGTAAATGTATTGCAGATAATCAGAACCCAGTTTCTCACTGTTGGAGAAAGAAGTTCTAAATAAGCAAAGTAGGAGATTAGAATGAATCTTGTGGTATTGCTTTGGAATTCAGAGTATCAGTGTAACTCACTGTTTTTAATATATATACAAATGGACAGATACAAGGAATAAATATAGATATGTGTGGGTTAGTATACATATATATTTTTTCAGGCTCTGTACACTAACAGGACCTAGGAGTAATGACAGCCCAGTAACAATGAAAACACCAAGCATCCGGATCTTGGCTTCCATACATCATTTTCCAGTAAAAGAACCAGGACTCCTTAGAAGTGGTTGATTCCAGGGCTGGGGAGGGGAAAATACAAGATGAGTCTGGAGCATCTTGTGATACCAGAAAATCAGGAATTTCTCAAAAAAGGATGTGGGCATGTCAGAAGGACATAGGAGATAATGTGAAAGAGTTCCCAATGGCTAAAGCTGGAACAATTTGAGCCAAAAATAAATAACTACACATATAATTAAATAAATACTCATACTGGCATAAATACATAAACACATAAATCAGTGCATAAATAAATGGGGGAGAGGGACAAATCTTCCTTACAGAATAATCCCAATTAACAGATGTATAAGGAAGGAGGGAAATACAAAATTACCAAAAGGCACACATCACAGTAATACTTGTTGCAGGCAAGATCCACAGTTGGATGCTAAAATTAATGAGCGAAGATTTGAGAAGAAACAGGATATTAGCATAGGCTGAAAGTGTCTGTCCCGAGATAGGTTTCTATTGCAAAGGGAGAAAATGGCAATTTTGCGGTGGAGAAACTCAGAATACAGCCTCTTCACCGGGTGATCAAGGTTAACATCACCTGTACTGGGACATGCAGACGTCGTGCAGCCCTGATGTGAGGCACTGAAAGGCACACAACCGCACTTCTGTAGCAGCCCCGCCAGAAGCTTTACCTTCGTATTACTACAGGTGCATAACCTCAGTATGATCACGAGAAAACACAGGACATTCTCCTCGTGTCAGTTCCTATCATATCAATTCTTATCATGAGGAAACATAAGGCAAACAAAAGAACTGAGCAGTACTCATCAAAAGTGTCAATGTCATGAAAGACCAGGAAAGACTGAGGAACTGTCACAGATGGGAGGAGACAACAGCTAAATGTCATGTGGGACTTTTAATTGGACCCTGGAAAAAAAAAAAAAAACATTAAGAAAAAACTGGTGAAATTTGAATAAGGTCTATAGCTTAGTTAATAGTATCGTGCCAATGTTAATTTCCTGGTTTTGAAACTATCGTCTGTTTTATATAAACTGTCCTCCGAACGTTAACGTTAGTGTAAGATAAGTGAAGGGTATATGTGAATTCTGCACTATTTTTGCAAATTTTCTGAAGTCTAAAATTATTTCAAAATAAAAAGTTTAAAACATAACACAGCTCCTTATACAAAGGCCAAGTTTAGATCCATCCTTGTTAAACTTGATTTAGTTCCCTAAACTGAGAAGTAAGGACCATATAATGAATACTGACCACTGAAACATCCCCTCCCCAAACTCTGGGATATAAGCAAAGATTATTTAGAATAAAATACCATTTATCTAAAGCCACATTATTTTTAAAACACTTATTCAGGGCCGATACTTTCATTTCTCCAACATGTTGGCAGAAGAAATCTGGTGGAGGGTAAAATTCTGGTCACTCTAGACAAACCCAGTTTCCAGCCTTGAACTTCAACAGGAGCACTGATGCTGGTGATGATCACAACACAAATGACACCATAGGTTGGACCCATGAGGCTTAAAAACTAATAAGTCAAGAAACACACAGAAAGGAGTTATATCTTTGAATATCTATATCTTCGAATCCTTGCAATCTTCATTTTCTCTCTTTTTCCTTCTTGTAAGAAAACTTCCACTTCTAGACTCCTGTACCAAGAAATCCAAACTAAACAAGGACCTCCTTACTAAGTTTATAAATAGTACAGGTATTCAAAAGATCAAATCCTTCTAGGGTTTTAGTTTAAAACAACAGTACAAAGAATATATGCTCCCTGTTAACAGTGATTACCTGTGGATAAAGGAATAGAAGGGTCTCTAATTTGCTATTTGATACATTTTTGTATTGTTTGACTTTTTATAACAATAATCATATATTATTTAAAACCAATTTAAATATACAAAAGCAACAATTCCAATCATTAGTTATTTTAAACTAAATAGTAGACTTTTCGACTATAAACTGTCAGCAATTCAATTTCATTTGTGATATGTCAAACCCAAAGGC